AGGAGGCGCAGCCTCGGGGTGGTACCCTCAGGGACTCAGCATGCTCCCGGGCTGGGCTGGACAGAGGTAGCCGGCTGGGATGCCCTGGAAATGAGCTCTGCCTCGTATCCATCCTTTTTAAAAAAAAAATTTAAATTGTGGGGTATTTGTTTTGGGGTTTTTTAAAGTAATCTTTTTGCACTTGAAACAGTCATGGTGGGGCCAGTCAGACTGAATAACAGGAGTGGTGGTTTGCTGGGGGCTAGCGCTGCGGTTTGATATGCTCCCGGAGCTGTCAGGCTGGGAGCGGAGGAGGGCTTGCTTGCGAGTGGCTTTTTAAACCCTGGGATTTCAAATGCTCCTCGGGATGAGTCGCAGCTCGGCAGTCCTGCACAGAGCGGATGTGCGGAGGGAAGGGAGATGCTTTCGGCTGAACCAAAAAAGTACGTGCCTGGAGGAAGGCTTTGGAAAGTGGGAGCTGGGCAGGGAGAAGGGAAGGGAGTGTTTCTCTTTTGCTTTGTTTTCTAAGGAATGGTTTAAGTGAATTGCTTCTCCTTTAAAAGGAAAAAAAAATCTCATTGAAGTTGTTGATGTAATGAATTTTGATTTATTTTTTTGTGCAGTTGACCCAGCTCTCCCCAAAGGGAAATGTATTTTCTTTGTGCTGTTTTGTTTACATTTTTAGGATGGATTTGGAGTTTTGGCTGATGGGAAAACCCCGGCTATGCAGGAGAGGATGTAGCAGGTGATTGCTTATGATGGTACTTGTTGCGTCGTCAAGATCTAGTTGATTAAACCTTACTGCGATCTAGTCATTAATAGCAGGAAAATTTCAATGAAAAAGGAACTATAAATGAAGTCCTAAAGCAGATTTCAGAGTTGTTATCCTTTTGTGGAGCCGATTAATGTAATGTAAACTGACCTAAATGAAGTGCTGTAGGAAGGTTTGTCAATTGTTTGTATGTTTAGCTAGGATTATTTGAAAACATTCATAAAAAAAAGAGGATTTTCTTGTGCATTGCAAGTTAGTTATGATGATTTGGGGCAGAAAACTGAGACAGGCCAGCAAACTAAATATGAAGAATTTGTGTACCTCTGTCCTCATGCCCCCCCATCCCTGTATACCCCTGACCTTATACTATTACCATACTTTGTATAGATTTTAGGATAGAAGATTTCCTACTAAACCTTTCATAATTTGCCTGTACTTAATTTCATTAGCCAGCCCAGCCCTGGCATTCAAAGAAGTCTACCAAGAATATTTGCTTCTTTTTCTAGTTTTAAGAGTGGAACAGAAAGGGTTGTGGGAGTGGTATTGGGAGAAACTCCAGCTTGGGAGGGAAGCTGTGGATGTCATCTCATCACAACAGGTCGCTGCCCTGGAATAAATCAGAAAGAAAAAAGTTGGGCAAGCTTTTCATAGAGTCCTCTTAAGTAATAAATAAGTGGCAAGTGAACAGCAGTTTGAGCATGTAACTCGTAACTCCAAATCATTTAAATGCACTGAGTGCATTCTGGCACTGCTGAAGGTCTTCACTTCTAATTGATTTTGTCTTTTTAATCACATCTTTATCATGGTGGCTGTGTGTGTTATTTTTACTGTTAAACTTTCTCTAAAGTTTCCTAGGGAGTCCAAGTTTTGTTCCCTGCCATGTATTCACCAAATTTGAATTAGTTCACATTCTGTATTGCTTTCTCTTGCCATAAACTAGGCTGTAGAAAAACATGTGTATGTGCAAATACACCTCAGTAAGTTGATCAAGGATTTTAGAGTTGAAATTTTTTTACATTTTTTGACTGCCTTCAGAGGTTGCAAATTATCACCCCCAGGACGTCCCCTACTTCCAATGTGCTGGGGTGCCAGCCTGCAGAGAGAGTGTGATTCCTGAAGATGGTCTGCTTAATCCAGCAGTCCTTGGGCAAGCAGAGTTTCAAGCGGAATTCGCTGCACACACCAGATTGGGCCCAGAATAGAAATGTGTGTCTGCATATCGTTGCAGGTGATTAAATGAGGCTGATAACATTCTTGAACCACCAGAACATGACAAAGCAATGTTACTAGATGAGACGATTCAGCCTTTGGTATCAATGTACCCAAGAGTTTCTCAAGGTTGTGCAAACTCAACAAGAAAACATGGAGTTGCAAGACATTGCAGCTGAATACAAGCTAAGGTCTCTGAGCCCTGAAAAGTAGGAAATCTTAGTATACTGGTGCAAGTGAATTGAAGGAGGTACTCACAATGCAGCTGAGAGGCAACCATCAGGCTGCCTTGCACAAAATGATTGTACTCTACCAAAGCACTCAAAAATATGGCCGCTAGACACCTTCTATAAATTCTTTGATGAGGACAGTCACCCTGGGAAACATCAAAATAAAAAGATCTTGTTCAAACTTAACGTGCAGCTTTGGTAGATACTGAGACTTGAGAGCATGCTTAGCAATGCTGGTTAGATAACTAACCAGGCAGAAATGCCTGATACCGGATGGTAGTCAGTGGTTCAACATGCAATGAGATGCATGCAGAATGTATGACATGGGTGAAGTGTGGCTTGATTATGACAAGTAAGACTTGGGCTGCTATGCAGATGGGTCACTATGTATGCCTCTGGGGCAGCCCGTTGCAGTGAGATCCGAGCCTGGAGTCACCAGCTCTCCTGCTGAGAGCAGACCCAGGGAATGGTATCAGCTGCTTTGTTTGACAGCATTTGCAAAGTTGAAAAATACCTTAGTAGAAAGCCCAATAAATAGGCAGATGGACTTTTCTGATGTTTGCCGTGCAAGCGGACAGCGCGCTGTGAGAGGCTGCTGAGTTTAACGGAGGATGCAGACGAGAAGACTTGAATGCCACATGGTGGTATGTGCCTGATGCCCACGGAAATTTACTGACTGCCATCAGCACAGCTGTGCTGCCAACGAAATGACTGGCTAGATGAAACCAAGTCCACACTGATTGGATGATGCTACAAACAACTTAAACAGCTACAGCTAGTCTAGAGTTAACAGAGCAGCAGGAAGGAGCATGCTTTCTTTGTGCCCTGTTAAGTCAGCAATGCCTGAAAAAGGACTTGATCTCAGGTGAGAAGGAAATTTATTTTGTTTTTTAATTATAAAAAAGACAAAGTACTTCTATTGAACTTTCTGCAAAAAATAACCCTAGTGATCAGCAAATTGCTTGCCCTTTTTTTAGAAAGAAAAGCATGCATACTTTCATATATACCTGATATATTTTGCTACGATTTCTATACTGAAACTTGCGCCAATGTTCAAATAACGTAGCTGACTAAACCTTCACCATGGTAGAGAAAGAGTGAACGTGGCTTAGAAACATGCAGTGTTGGCCTCACCATGCCCTCACTGACATAAAAGGCCTCTCCCTCCACAACACTGGAGTAGACCATTGCACGGAAGACGAGCATTAGCAAACGGTTAGCGGTGACAGCAAGAGCACCAGGGAGCCCCTGGATCAATGCTGGTGCTTTGGAAAACTCTCATGGTGCTGCTGCAGGTAAGTGCCAGCCAGTTACTCCTAAAGCAGCTGATGAGGGAAGGCAGGTTGTCTCAAGTGCTAGAGGGCTGCAAGACCTGCAGTATTTGCAGTCCCTCCTCAACATGCATGAGGTAGCAGTCTGATGGTGTCCTGGGTAATGCTTCAAGACCCTTAGGTAATCCATTTGCAACAGAATTATTTTGTATTCAGCCATTATGACTGTACAAGTGCTGTGAAATTGCTTTTCAACTCTGTTATTAGCTAAGTGTTTACCATTTGATCACAACAAAACTAACAGCAATAAACTACTGCTAAAGTTCAATACAAGTTTGCAATTTGTTTTCAATGGGCTCTTTACTTGTGGAGAAATTTTAAATGAGTATCTCTCTTACCCACCCCACCCCCCCCAGCTGTTGTGAGCCGATTGTCCCTTCACCGATTTTTTCATTGAGAGATGCTCTTTAGCGCGATGTTTTTCTGGAGTCAGGTGGGCTGAGAAAGGCCCAGTGCAGGCTTAAATCTAGTATGAACAAGACTTGAGACACACACAATGCTTTGTTAGACTTACTTTTGTTTGTTTTGTGAGAGTCTCCAGTGCATATTATTTCGCTGGCTTGCTTATATGCTTTTTAAAAATAAAGGTTCAGAAGGAGCTAGTTTTTGTCTGAGATGAGAGGTAGGGCTCTGCAGAAAAAACTTGTGGGGACTCCCTGAGGCTTTCTGACTTGGCACAGTGAAAACAGGTTTGAACCTAACCTAACTGGCGTGTGGCCTTCTCTTTTTGTAAAATGGCACTTTCCTCTTAAATCAGGAAAGGAAGCTGCCTTGTGCTGAGATTTTCTTTTCTGGTAGTTCATCATGGTTCCAAGCTGATGTTGCAAAGGCAATGTAGGAGTTGCTTCAAAGGCA